CCTTCTCATGACCTGCCCTGGCACTCCAGAACGCTACCAGAACACAAATACTAGTTACACCCCTGGTAGTTCTACTTACACAAATACTAGTAACACCTCTTGTAGTTCTCTAGTTATGCCAGAAGTCCCTTCCAACCTGAATTCTCCTACTTTGCTATTACATGCACATTCCTAGGTGAAGGTGGTGAGACCGGGGCACCCCTTCCTCCTGCAGATACCTGCCACAGAGCCACCTGCCAGAACACAAATACTAGTTACGCCCCTGGTAGTTCTACTTACACAAATACTAGTAACACCTCTGGTAGTTCTCTAGTTATGCCAGAAGTCCCTTCCAACCTGAATTCTCCTACTTTGCTATTACATGCACATTCCTAGGTGAAGGTGGTGAGACCGGGGCACCCCTTCCTCCTGCAGATACCTGCCACAGAGCCACCAAGATCGCCTCACCTTGCTCGTTTGGAAAAGGGGGAAAGGAGGCACTTTAAGGAGAACCGAAACGGTCTCAGGAGGGTCTGAGATCTGGACTTCGCTGATCCAAGGAAAAAACCTCCCCAAACAAAGCTATTCAAACTACAATCAAAATGCGCTACTGCTTAGCAGTCTTTATGTGGTCCAAGTCCGTTCTAACAGCAATTATCTTAGTTATCAGTGTTCTTTCTTGGTCCCTTTACTAATTACATGATCCTGCTTTTCTAAGTAAACTCCCATAATTTCCTCCCTCTGATTTGATAGGGTGCTTCTCAGGGCCACTATTTCCCTCTATTTAGCTAAAACAAAAAAGAACTTTCTCTTTGAAAGTATTTCAGCATCATGAGATAAGTTTCCTTCCTCCTTTTAATAATTGCACGGCTCCCCAGAGGAAAGTGTCAACAACATTATTTCCTTCCAAATTCTAAAAGGGTTACAATGTCTGTGTGGGTGGTAAGATTAGATTACAGTAAAATTGTTAGTTTCAAGCTTTCATTTCTCAGGCACCAACCTCAGCTCCCATGAACTTGTTGCTTTAACTCACCGCTGATCTTATCCTCCTTTCCCACTTCTCTGCATGAAGTGGTAACGCAGCTGGTAAAACATCATTTAACTGAATCCCACAACCAGAAGGAATAAAATCTGGTATTAAAAGTAGATGTCGTACCTTAATTCTCTGCCGGTAGGGAAAATGTTCCCAAGAACAGGGTATAAGCACATGGGGAGAGACACGAGATTACAGGATCTGTCTTCGGAGTGTAGTGTGAAATAAACAAGGCGGCCGGCGCCACCTCTCCCAGCACGGGGATGAAGGGAGCAGCGATGAAGGCTGCTGCATGGGCAGCTTCTCTGCCTCTCCGACCACTGCGTTAATCCAGCCCATTTGGACATTTTCTTTATGAATAAATAAGTGAATAAATAAAAGCAGCCAGCTCCATCTGTTATTCACCCTAACCACAACAGGATGGATTGATAGCTCGCAGAGTGGGTTTCGGAGGGGATATGGAAAAAGTGTCCTTCCAGATTAATTCAAGGACGGCACTCTGCGGAGTCTCTTACCCATTTTTCAAATGTTCCTGTGTTTATTTACTGAAACAACAGGAGCAATATGGCACCATAAATCTTTTAAAAATTGAAATAGTTGTGCCAGTCTTGAAAGATTAATAATAAGGAACGCCTTTTAGAGTGTGCTCATGGAAATGATTAGTGTTTCTGAACATTAGAATTACAGGGTATAATTGTAATGTTATTGCAACTATATAGGAGCCAGCGATCCTTTAATGGAATACAGTGTGAACTTAATTATTTACATGGAAAAATCAGTGCTCATAAAGTCGCTGATTGATAGACCTACTGCTTCCTGCATCCTTCAAGTGTTATGAAGGAGCAACGTGGCTATCTATGCAGATAATCTCAGGCCATGTTTGTTATTTATTTAGTTTTAAATCCTACCCTATAGCTGACACATGGGCCTAGTGACACTGAAGGCCTAGTTCCTCGAGCAACCTGAATGGTCATTTTTTGGGGGATCTCTCTCGGCTGTTGCAGTTCCTTACGAAGGGATTTTGCTTTCGGCAGGAGGACACCGGTGCTGGACACGTCGCCGCTTCGCTCAGATGTGGCGCTATTTCCTCCAAAGAGCCACGCGGCAGGACAGGGCGCTCTGCCCTACGTTGCTCCTTTTACGGGGGCTTCGACACGTCTTGGTGGAATCACATCCAGAAAATGGGTGCCTACAAGCGCACCCGCATGTGGTGACCCATTCCCCGAGGTGGCGTCTAAGCCTAGAGCCTCCCAGCAGCAGCCCCAGGGCTCGTGCTGCGGCGCGCGGGCCGGTGCCCACGGGCCAGCGCCTGCTGCGCACGGAGCCCTCCAGGCACCAGGGACGCGCACGTCTGTTAACACAGTTTATTGGCACACTTATTGGCAAAGCATACATAAAATACAGTTGTATTATATAACACACTGACTCACTGTGTCTTTACATGATGAGCTGAACATATTAATATGTAAATGAAAAAAAAATATTAGTTTCTTTTATAAAGTTTCACATAAATACACCGGAATCAAAAAAAAAAAAAAAAAAAGGAAAACAAAAAAATGTTTTGAGGGCTTTACAAAAATATTATACAAGAAATATACCATGAAAAGAAATAACAACAAAGCCAACTCAGATACAATAATAGAAACACAAAAGTTTTAGATTTATTAAGCTGCCCACAAAGTTAATGGATTACATGGCTTTAAAATATCTGGATCAACAGCAATTTTACAAAGCATAAACTCTCATAGGACTGGGTGTCTTTTTCCACATAAAAATATTTCTCATGTCTTTGATGAAAAAAGACATTTCTTGTTTCAGCACTTATATTTAATGATGGAAGGAGTGTCTATTGGTATCAGCTAAATGTAAATTAAAAATGCTGGATCCTTTAAATGATTAACCAATGAAAGAAGAGTTAAAGAAAGAACAAAAGTTACTTTAAATTACTTTTCCTTAAAAGCTGATTTTTTTTTTCTGAAACAAGAAATTTCAGGTGCAAGTTGAAAAGCAGAAAATATTTTACAATTGTAAAAAGTTTTACATAGTTATGTCAATGAGCTCCTGAGCACTGATGACTTGTTAAAATATGGCCATTGTTTGATGAGGAAAAAAACAACCCCTCCAATAATATGCGTTGTCAGAAATTTGCCATGAGATGCTATATAATTTTCAATTATTCTAATTGAGGTCAGTGCCAGTATCATGTTGTGTGTGAAAGCTTCCAAGAAATGTGCGTGGAAGCTTACAAATGATTTTTCCCTAATTAAAAAAACATCAGAGAGCTTTAGTTTAGAAATAGATACTGTATCTGTCGAAAGGTATTTTTGTTTTCTTTTAGAGAATGCTGTGAAACAGTAATTAATAACCCACTGACACACGTTTCAGTGGGTGCTGCTGCAGAACAGCCTATTGGGAAGCTTGTGGTGTGGGGTTTTCAGATTTAGTCTCCTGGTTCGCAGGAGGTTTGCTGTTCCACGGGCTGTTATTTCCCAGTGCAGGTGAATTGTTGAAATCTTCTTCATCATCCATGCCATTTGCTGCGTCATACTGTGTGTTCTCTAATCTAGTGATAAGCCTTTCGTCTTCATCCCCGAATTCGCCTCCCATCAGAGTTGGTTCTCCTACCACCATCACATCCTGTGAACAGCACCCAATATTTGTTATATGGAAACCTTGAGAGAGAGAAAATCAACTTAAAAAAATCATGTTAGATAATTTGCATCTCTTAATTTTGTAATATTTGTACAACAGAGTTAAAAGTTCCTGAATAGTAGGAACCAGGGGACAGGCTTATGCTTCATTTCTAATTGACATGAAAACTGTTTCGCTCCTCTCTAGCTGCATGCTCGTGCCTCTGGATGTCAGAAACCCCAGAACTGAGAAGCAGGTAGACGGAAAAATGCACATGTGTTTCTAAAAAATAAGCAGCCTGTGAAACTGGCTAAAGCTCCTGCTTGAAATGTTTAGCCAGTATTAAGTAATAAAGTAAAATACTATATTGAGTAATAAAGTAAAATACTATATTAAGTAATAAAGTAAAATACTTTATCCAGTATTTCTTTTCCGAGCCATTTTATCTGGAAGGGCACCAGGGTGCATCTCAGTTGCAACTCTGTGATATTCCTGTTTTAAACCTAGTTTAAAAGCAACCACATTTCTTATTCTGAGACTTCAAATGTGGAGCACAGCACTCTGATAAAGATGGTAACTCTCTTATCCTTAGCCAGGCAAGCCCTTTTACGCATCCAATATACTTGACATTCTGCTACTTAATTATGGTAATTAATTTAGGTAAAGTTTTCGATAAAAACAATGTTCACACTGATTTGACAATTTGCATAGCTAATTAAGCCATTAGCAAAAACCTGCTGATTGCCAACAAGCCCTGAATTTACCATCTGTTATTTCATGGTGCCTGTCACCTAACTCTGTGTAGGCAACCCTGCTGCCAATCTGTGCAGTACGAGGACCAATCTGTCCAGCTGGTACCGTAAAAGGAAGATGAAGAGTGCTAATTATAATTACACTGATGAAGCTAGCAGTCATCAAAAACTGAAGCATGCAAGAAAGAAAGAATTCATCTAATCACTGCTTTAAGTACAAATTGTCCTTCCATGAAAACAAGTAAACCGCTTAGTGTAGCCCAGTGCATCACAGACCCGCTGCACAAACCTCACCAGCACGGGATAGAAAGGTGCAAACTTGAGGCTGGAAAGCAAAGGTGCAAAGCCAGGGGGGCCTCTTGTTGCCTCTGTTCAAAGGGAAATCACGTGGTGGTGCTAACTGCTATGGGGAATTGGGGGTGCATCTTTTCCTGCATCTGAGAGCATCTGGGAAAAGTGCCCTCATTCCAGATGTCTGCCTAGCTCCTAGCCTGCTCATTCAAAGAATCCTGGAGAACAACAGATTCATTTTTTAAAGGATCTGTTCCTGCTTATGGACGTAAAAGCTTTTGTAAAAAGCAAACAAAAGACACATGTTTGCATATAATAAGGCTTTTTCTATCAGATATGCCCTTCATTCATTCATACCATGAAACCATACAAGTCACTGCCTGTATTTACGCTGTTTCTGATATCGCTCAGCAAAGGCTGACACGCTACAGAAGAATGTTTCAATCATACTTTCAGCCTGTGCTATGTGAAAAAAATGTGAGTAGATAGAATCTCTTATATGATTTCTTCTTTACATTGTCTATATTTTGTAACTCCATGTATCAATAAAATATTTTGTTAAATCAAATCACCACACAGCTTTGCAACACAGAAGTTTAAAAGATAAAGGTGCTTGTAACAGGAAGTTCATGCTAACTCATGTCACCCCTCCAAACAACCCAAGCTGTCTAGTTTGCACTGCCGCACCAGCCCTGGCCCGCTGCACTGCAGGGGCAGTAGCGACCCGGGAGCCCTGGCCCGGGAGAGCAGCGGGGTTGGAGCGTGCGGTGGAAGCGCCGGAGCAGGGAGCGCGGTGCGGGGATGCACCGGAGCAGGGAACACGGTGCGGGAATGCACCGGAGGAGGGAACGCGGTGCGGGA